CATACACACAAGAAACATTATACACACTGAGCAGGTTGTACTTAGGAATACACATGTACATACATATATGCATTAAATAATAATAAATGAAAAGAGAGGTCATGAATTTGAAAGAGAACATGGAGGCATATCTGGGAGGTTTTGGAAGGAGGAAAGAGAAGAGGACAATGTATATTGTATACTCAAAAATACGAGAAATAATGAAAATTACATTTAAAATTTTCTAGAAATCTGTCAAGAATACAATTGCTAGGTTTTCTGGCTTTGCAATTAGAATTCTAAGACACTACCATTCTGTTTTTCACTGTAGCTATATCATCCTACAATACTGCTATCAGTGTCTGAACCGTTAAACTTGTCTGCATTCTGTCAACCTTGTTCTTGACTCAACTGTTCATACTAGCTATTTTAACAGAACTGTAATTTTATTTTACATTTTAAATATATCAATGTGAAATCTTTTTTAATGTGTTTATTATCACCTACACTGCCATTTTTGGAGAAAAAAATCTCCGTGTAGTTAGCTATATTCAAATTGGGTTTTGTGCTTTTACATGACTGAGTTTCAAAGTTTTAAAGACGTTGTAGATATTAATTTTGTCAGGGATGCATATGACAAAATGTTTAATTATGCTGTGTACTTGTCATTTTTCTGCTTATTGAAAATCTTTGAAAAGTGAAATGTTAAAGTTTTATCCAATTTTCCATTTCTCCTTTTAGAAGTCACATATTTGTTGTCAAGTTGAAGACTACTTTGCCAGGTTGATTTTCCTAGTTATTTGAACTAGTTACTAAAGAGTTTTTCAGAGTTTTTTAAAATTAAAACCTTGTTTTACTTTGCTGCTATCAGAGTAAGAATTATGTTTGCTACACCAGGCTGGCCTAGAAGTATTTTGCTATGGCTGCCTTTGAATGCAGAATCCTATTTCACTTTCCTGAGTGCTTGGATTTAAGGCATACACCAAGATGCCTGCCTTTCTGAAACCTGTATAGTTTACATATCTTGTTTATGATTAATTTTGCACAAATACATTTTGTGAGACGTAGGAATGTGATCTAAGTCCATTTTGCATATGGATGTTGATGTCTCCAAGGTCACTCTTTACTACCCTAAAGGATTACTTCCTTTTGTTGAATACAAATTGCAGCTTTCTAAACAACTCAGTTGTTTAGAATTGCATGGCTCAAGTGGGTTTCCAGTTGTTCTGGTGCCCATCTTCCCACCAATCCCACGAGGTAAGTATGTATATTTCTTAAAGAAATAGTTCATGCCACCAAAGATATCAAATTTATGTTTTAGAGTTATTTATTTTATTTTTTTTTGGTGTGTGTGTGTGTGTTTCTTATTTCTAGGTTCATGTGGAAAGCTCTGAGTCCAAGAGTGATTATTAGAAAGTGGAGTTTGGAAGTAATTAGGTTCAGAAAGTGAGAGTTTATTCAATGGCATTAGTGATCTTAAAAAAGAGAAATGAAGGGAATATGGCGAGAGCCCTCATGTAACAATTAGTGTCACTGTGAAAACAAGGTAAGCTAGAAACTGGAGCTTGCTCTCTGTCCCACCAGCAGATGCAGTGGAAAGTCCCCATTTCACAAAACAAAAAGAAAGTCTTCACCAAGACCCGAAGATGAAGGTGCTTTCTTCCAGGGACTTCTCACCCCTCAATGGTCAGAAATAAACGTGTGTTGTTTAAGCCACCGAGTCTCCCTTGTATCTGTTATTGAAAAATTGATGAATACTATATAGACTCCTATACTTTTGACATCTGGAAGGACTGTAATGATAAATACCACTCTCATGAATATTTAAAAATAAACAAATTAATTAATAAAAGATATTCTTCCCTTCAGAGTAAATTTGAGCTACATCTGTTTAAAATGTATTCAAAGAAAAAAAATTAAAAAAAAAAGAATATACAGCTAGGTAAAAAAAATGTATTCAAAGTAGAACCTATGTTTTACTTAACTTCAAAAGAGTTCTTTTTTTATTTTTAAATTTTTGATTGGCATATATATATATGTATATATATACTTGTTGTATGATGCGATGAGTTTATAACATAAGATCATACAGTTAATATGCATTACTAAGTGATTATACTTATTTATTCTAATAAGAGTATCTTAAATCAGCTCTCAGAAGTTTTGAAAATGAAGTCAAGGCCTTCGGTTATCAGGCTATGAAATATAACAGTAAAGCATTTTTCTTGTTCATCTGAAACTTTGTAACTGATCATTATGTCCTGTGATTCCTCGGCCTTTTGTAACCGCTTCTACTTTTTGTGTGTATAAGTTTTATACATTTAGATTTCACATAAAGTAAGAATACATATTATTGGTCATTCTTTTTCCACTTTCATTTACATTAATATACTTCCAAGTTCATCCTCATTGTCACAAATGACAAAATTTCCTTATTTTTAAGGTTGAATAGTTTTCTATTTTATGTGTTCCAAATTTTATCCATTTACCCCTTGAAGGACACTTAAGTTTCTTTTACATCCATAAATTTTAGATGTGCTAAATGACCATATGAATACAATCTATTTGGGATATGTTAATTTCAATTCTTTTGTATGTAGGCCTGAAAGGGATTTTGACAAAGGTATAATATCACATAATGCAGGAAATATATTCTCTTCAAAAAACAATAATGAAAACTATATCTATATATCTATATACCTATACCTATATCTATATCTATATATATATTTGTGCACAATAGTGAAATTTGCCCTTAATGTATGATTCAAATGGATTAGAGATGAAAATTAAGATCTAAAATTAAAATACCTTAGAAGAAAATGTCTAAAAAAAATAGTATGACTTTGGCTTGTATGATGTTTTTTTTTTTCAAATAGGAACTCAAATTTGCAGAAAACAACAGGAAAAATATATCAAAATGTTGGCAAAATATATCAAAAATGTTTGCAAAGTAAAGAAACAGTTATGAGACGAGAAAGGAAAATTATGGGTTGGGAGAACTATGTACATCCAGTAAGAGACTACGATGCCCCAATACAAGATATTTGTATACTACAAGACCAAGAAAACATCCCAACTAAAAATGAGAAGGGCACTTGAATAGACATTTCTTTAGAAAGACTGGCATATGATCCAACAGTCTATGAAAAGCTTCTCAGCATCATTAGTCAACAAGAAAATGAAAATTGGAATCACATGAGCTTTATTACACAATTGTTAGAATATCTATAACCAAAATGAAAGACAGTGAATATTGATGAGAAGGTGAAGGAATGGGAACATGAGCAGGGATTTTAGAAAAAAATATGGAGTTTCCTAAAGAGCTGAAGTCAAACAAGCATGTGCATTTTAATTTTATACCATATCATTTCAACGGTTCATTTGGTGTATCCCCTAATTATTTAAATCATAGTTAAGTCTCCATTAATTCTCTCTTTTTGATGCCCTAAGTCAATAGACCAAACCCCATTAATTCTGTTTCCTTGAATATCCAGAAACAAATTACCTTTATTTTTACTGCTGGCTGTGCATGCCTCCATCATGTCTCTCCTGGACCACTGTGGTTACTCATCACTGGTATTCTGTCTCTCCTCTAGCTCATTGCAGGTCATCTTTACTTAGCAGACATATGAGACAACTTCCTTGCTCAGGTACTGGCTTGAAATGTTGTTGTCCTTGTCTTGTGCTTGCAAGCATCTCTTAGAAGTCTCTCCTGAATAAGTATACTTCAGTGAACACATGTGTCTTGCTCTCCTTTAAGAACGCTGACCTCATGCCCAGCTTAGGGTCCTTGCAACAAAGCTGTTCTCTCTACTTCATACACCCTTGACAGTTCATGCTTGACTCCTTATGTTTTATACACTGGGATCTCTTTTACACTTTCGTCTTTCCTATTTAGTCTACACATTTTTCTATCCTGCTACTCTAGTTTAGCAGCTACCCACTTGTGATATATTCTTGTTTACTATTTGTTTATATCTTCCTTCCTGTTCTGAGGTATAGGTACCATGGCATCAGTGTCTTTCTGTCTCACTACTGTGCTCCCAGTGCATGGAACCATGTCTGGCACAGAGAAAATGCTCAGTATAAACACAATAGAGAAAAGCATAAGAGTGCTGTGCTTAACATCCTAATTTACCTTTCAACTAAAGAATAACATACACATACATAATAATTTCAAAGCTAAAATAATGTTATTTGTATCATTATCCAATTATATATATATATTATATAACAGAATATTTGTCTTTCGGGTGTCAAACATTGTCAGAGATGCCATATGTAAAGAAGAAAATATTAGAAGCATTTTGCTAGCTTGTATGCATAAGTGTAGTTTTATTTTAAACCTGTTCATCTTAGTTTTAAAAATTCCTGGAAAGTGTGCTTCTTCATTAACCCATTGAAATAGGTACATCATTGAGACTATGGATTTGAGGTTAGAGTTGGAGAGGGGACAAGTTACCAATAAGTGTCTTTAAGTCTGAGATTTCACTTCCTCTTTTTATTGCTGTATAAGAACATCACCTGATGCATAGCATTGTTGAAAAATACTAGTTTCAAAGAGAACTGTTACATGTGTCAAAAACGGGGGTAGAGAGTCCTTTAAAATAAGGGGCTTGAATTTCCTTTATGTGCTAAACTTCATAGAGACAGCATGTATATTCATACGGAGTCAGTAAAAACAAGCAAAAGCCCTGAGAGTGTTAATTAAAAATATAAAGTCATCCGAGAAACTGCCCAAATCCCTGAAGAATTCTGACCTAATGACACTTTCAAAGTCCCAAGCATCCGATTTTCTAGCACTATGACAAACTGCCAGTGTCGCATTACTCTAGGTACAAAGATGCCCCGTGCAAAGCGAAGGCCCTAGGGAATGCTCTTCTAACTTAAATCAGTCCATAGGGAAATTACAAGTTGCATTTTAGCTTTTAAGAAGAAGACGCTGATGTTGTTCCTGTTTTTAGCACAATGCAGCAAGTTAACTTTGGGGCTCTATTGCCCCAACGTATAGAACTTACCAACTGTGACTTCGGCATTATTGGGTTTGAACGTGGATAATGATTTCTTCCGATTCCCAGATATCTGAGCCTGGACAGTGCAGAAATAATAGTATTTGGGGTATGAGTTATTTTCTACCTTAGAGTTCATGGGCTTGAATATATCTCCGTAGCACAGCAATATTGCTTTTTTCATTGCTTTGGTCAGAATCGGCTTCTTCAAAGAGCTCCCCACCCCAACCCCTTCTAGGCTCTCTGAATATGATTACCACTGTGTAAGGGGCCAGTCTGAGTTCTGGTCTCTAGCACTATTTCCAATCTCCCCTTAATTATTTAGAAGCATTTTGGGCATTCCCGGATCCCGAGATTCCTCCCCAGTAGATCCTGTTTAGCAGGATCTCTTATTGGTGTCCCAAGGGCTTCGGGCTCCAGTGACCTGTCTTCTGTCTGCTCACCTGCTTACATGCTGATTCACTGATGAGCTGGCAACGCAGGCTCCGCCTCCCTCGGCATGGTCCCTGAAGTTAAATTGCTTCAGGAGAGATGATGCCGAGCTGCACCAGAGCTGGGTTACTACAAGTGTATAAAGCAGCAGCCTATCTGTTGCCACGGAAGAACTTGGTGACCGTCCTGAGAGGCAGCGCTTTCTCATTGCCCTGTTACTCTTGCATCCGCGCTGGCTGCTGTACCTTCTGACTCAGGCACTCACAGCTAATTCCCCAGGAGTTGTAAGGCATCTTGATACATAAACTGAGACAGAAGTTTTCCCTCAGAAGCCGCCTTTTTTTTTTTTCCATTTCTATTGGCAAAGACTACTGACGCTCCTCAGAGGAATACCTTGTTCCTTAAGATGAGTGGCTGTAGGAAACGGTGTAAACGTGAAATATTGAAATTTGCCCAGTACCTTCTCAGGCTATTAACAGGTTCTCTTCATACAGGTAATGACTTTTTTTTTTTTTTTTTTTTTTTTTAAATCAAGGCTAGCAGAGCTTGGTAATGGAGTTGAACCGGAGTAGAAAAGGCTCACTATTTCTTTGTTGTGATTTTTCTTTTTCTACTGTTCTCAATAAAATGCAGTCTGAGCTTCCTTCTGCTAAAGACAAGTGCTGTGCAGCTTTGGTTTGGGGAGGGGGAGAACTGGGTTGTCTGAATGTATCTTTTATGTTCTCCTGGCAGCGCCACTGTTAGCTGCGCCTGAGTCTAAGGAAACAGCGTCTGTGATTAAGGAAAGAAAGAAGAAAAGGGCACAGTTGTGTGAGGGGGATTGTCCTCCCTGCTGTTTGCTGCGGTTTATGGGAAGCGCATAAAAAAGCTACCCTCCCTGCCAGCAGTTAAAGATTCTCTACAACTCTTTGATCGTTATAATCCCTAGATTGTTTGCAGTATTTGATCTTGATGCGCGGCAGTGAAAGAGTTAAGGCCATTTCTTTGAGAATTCTGAGTTCCTTGCAAGATGTGAGCAAAATGTGCCAACAGATGAAGAGAAACGTGCTCAGGAGAGCCTTGATGTTTGTATCATTGTAGTGGATTTCAGTGTTTAAACATTGACATGATTGCAATGGAAACTTTACTTTCAATCTCAATGCCGGTAGCAAGAAAATATTTTTTAAGGCGTTATAAAATGGTGAGACCAAACCAGTAGATGTGCTGCCAGTGCAATTCTTGAGCGCTGTCCATATCTTAGCGCCAGGCAGGACCAAAATTAGTCCCCACTGATGACAGATACTGTTAATGGACCATCAAACAAACCTGTGTTAATATAATACTACACCTGGGTTCCAGCCATCGGGAACTATCCGAGTGTAGTGTTTTTCAAATCTGAATAATGAGGGAAAACAGTTAAATAAAGAAACCCAGACAGACGGTGTACTATAAGGTTAAGAGATGAATTTGATCCATATTTTATCCAGAGAAGAGAGAGGTGGTATGTTTGTTAACACACCTGCTTATGTGACGGCATTGGAAGTCAAAGAGTTCCAGTAAATCTTCTTGGGTATTAAAAATGTCTTAATATTCTAATGTTCACATCCCACTAATACCCATATGCTAATTTAAACAGTTCACGATGTGTAGAATTTCAATTATGAAATAATGATTGAAAGCCTGTATCTAACTTTTTCATCTCGGAGTTTTGTTGCATTTCTACCAAATCTTCACGTTTCCAGTGTAAACAGTTATTTGGATCATTATGGCCTTATTGGTATTTATTTCTTTGCTGCATACGTACTGCTAAGGCAGTGTGTTATTTAAGAAACCATGGCTTGGTCACTACGGTTTCATACCTGTTGTATGATCTTGGTGTGTGTTTAGAGAAACTGTATACAAAAGGAAGCTCCCAGTAGCTGTTTCTTTCTCGTTGAGTGCAGATGCTGCCTTGTGCCCTGTTTGTTTATTCTGTTCGTATAACAGTTTTCTTGAACTTTTGATTTCAAAGGTCCTTATGGCAATGACAATAGTTGTGAAGTTGCAAAGCATAAATATTAACGCTAAATACAGTCAGCATACAGGTTATCTAGTGGCAATGTGGGAAGCTAGTGTAAAAGCAGTATTTTAAAACCTATTGATTGCACATTTGGAAGTCAGGGTAGGTGGTAGCAGTTTCCTCGTCCTGAAGCACAGGCCGCCACATATCTGTGCACTTGAAGAAACAGGAGCCCAAGGTTATTATTAAGTAGTATGCTAGATTGATGTCCTCAGAAATGAGCTTATGAAAATTTGGTTCTGGCATTGTTTTTGTCTTTTCAGGCATAGTAACAAATTTGAAATCCAGCTGAGTTCTTCATAACTGTTCGGAATTCTGCTCACAAAGGCCAATGTATGCATTTACTAGTAGCTGTGATAATATACTCTGTTCATATTGCAGATTCTAATGCAAAATTCATTAGAACACTTTTGGGTCCCTGAGCTTGTAATTAATGAAGAAGTAGGGAGCAGGGCTGAATAAGTTTTAAAATTTTGCTTTAAAGTTAGATGTGGAAGAAGTTGCTAATTGCATCCAGAACAATCAGCATATGTCTTTGTAGTTATCAAAATTTTAAAATGATATGAGAATTCACTAGCTGCCTTTTTACTTCTGATCATAAAATCTCTTATCCTTAGTTCCTCACTTGACATTATTGGAGGAAGTAGTAATGTTCTTTTTACATTTAAGAAGGTTAATTCAGAAATACCAGGTTTGTATTTTTTGCCAATTGCTTCTCGTTTGTTACCAAATATATACAGAAAATTCACTGCAAAGATTTATAAACATGAATGACGTTTTGACGTGTCTTATTAGTGATATCACCAGTGAGAGGAGAACAATTTCCTGAGCTGACAACTTCTCATGTAAGTTTGACGGTCTCTAGGATTACATATGTATGAATAAATAAATTAAATGGTTTTTCTAAAACAATTTTATGTGAGAGAATACTGATTTAAATGTAAGTTTTCTTCAGACAAGATAATACCCATGGATGGTGATGGTGCACCTCTTTAGTCCCAGCACTAGAGAGGCAGAGACAGGCAGATCTCTGTGAACTTTAGGCCAGTCTGATCTACAGAGTGAGCTCCAGGACAGCAGGGTCTACATAGAGAAACTCTATCTCTAAACAAAGCAAAACAAAAAAACGACGACAAAAAATCAAAACAAAAAATAGTAACTTTTCCCAAACTTGTGAAGTATATTCTTTTTCATGTTAAACCGCTTCTCAAAGAGTGATTTCAACATGAGCAAAGTGGATCCCAGGCTAGGCTGAGTTAAAAAAGTGAGGCCTTAATTCAAAACTAAAAACACAAATGAATATTGTCAAAGCACATATGCTGGCTTTACTTTAAAATGTAAAATTTTAAGAGTTTCCTTTACTATAAATAATTAAATATAGAAATTGGTGCACAAGTAATACAAGTTAGTGACTTCCAGGATAGAAGAGCAAGATTTTTTTCATTGATTTAATTGTGCTATACATTTTTCTCTAATCTACTCACAGCCTCTTCCCTCCCCTTGAGGAGCAAGACTTAATGCAGGTTCAATTATCTTATTTCTTAGTTTGATGCGTTGCTTCTTGATATACTACATCAGATTTAAGTCTAGATGGGGCTTCTGCTACACAAGATATCCAACTATATCTAAACCAATGGGAAAGCGTTGAGCCTAGTCATTTGAGGCTTCTATCAATGGGTAATGTGGGTATCAGTGCTCTATTTTACAAATGTTTCTGCCATTACAAAAATGTGTGATGATACTATAGATTCAAATTTTCAACTGCTTCTCCTTTAGGTTTTTTTTTTTTTTATTTGAAGGTTATTTTGACACTACTCAAAAATTGCCGATATCTTGTTATTGAAAAAGCAAGACCTAGACACATTTTTTCTATTAGGAGCTATTACCTAAACATACGTTTGAGGTAGATATTGCTTGGAGCTTTTTGCAGAATTTAGGTCTACAAGCTATAGGTAGGTTAAAGTTCAATCCTTCACTTAAGAGTAGTAAAAATGATTTAAGTAGAAAATTCTATTAAGCTTTCAGTTGTTGTTTAACTAATGCATTAAAGTATTTCAGACTTAATAAAATTATATTATTAAAAGCTGAGGTAAGAATCCATCTCATTCCATAAAGAACTTTACCCTAGGAAGAAGGTGGGTGAGAATGGAAGGAAAAAAGAGAGAATAAATCCATATATGTAGACAGAGCACACCTTTGGCTTTTAAATTTGAGTAAGAAACTTTTATGTGTTACATAATATTATTGAGTTCTTGTGGACCAAGCCTCACTAAGCTAATTATGTACAGATTTAAATACTTGAATGTTATATTTAAAAGCATGAAGAGAAGTAAAAGCAATTAGCAAAAACTGAGAAATGACAAAATTGCTCTCTGGCCATGCACCCTTCTTTTTTTATAGCCTCTTTTTCTCCCTTCAAGGTCATAAATTATACATTATTTATCCCATTCTCCAACTTTCTTGATACCCCTCTTCCATCTAAAGGCATTATATAATTAAAACTGATAAACTCAAAAACATATTCTAATAAAGAGATAGGACTTTCTATTTTCCCGACCATGTGGTCCTGGCAAATAAAATATGCTATTTGTAATCTCTTTATCTGTCAGTTTAGAAATTCATATTATCCACTATTTTGTCTTACTTTTAAATTAATCCCTTTTACTTTTTGGTTAAATTTCTTATAAGTCAACTCTCTATTTTATAAATGCATACAAAATGGAACCATTGTTTGTATTGTTATCTATTTATTATTGTTTGTCATATTGCTTCCTTCCTTTGCATGGGTGTGTGTCTGTGTGTTCTTCCTGCTGCTGAATCTTGACCTTACATAAGAACCACAGGATGGTATTTATACCTGATCATCAATGAGTTTAGGGAACTTTGTTTCTTTTTCTGGGAAGAGTTTACATTTTAAACTTTATGAAAATAATTATTTCTCCTGTATAACTTCTCATGCAGGAGTTACTGGGAATGGGGGAGTGGGGCTCTTGCTTAAGCTTTTGCAAATCTTCCTTGAAGTCAGTCTGCTTGTGGTCTCTTTGATCCCAGCAGACACATCAGCAGCAAGTTTGGGTTACTGCTTGCATTTGAATTCACACACACACAAAAATCTT